GGACGCCCAATTGACGACCTCCGCGTGGGTCTTGAGCTTCATCGCACTAATCATGGTCACCAAGCTGAGTAAGTGTTTGAGTTGATACGTGTGAGGCACAAACTCGCGGAACAAAAGCAATGGAGCTGGAAAGCAGCTGCCCAGGATGTATGTGGATGAGAGATGACGCGAGAGCATATGAGTTCGGTGAGCGAAATGCCAAGGAAAAGGAAGATACTCGTAAAATTGGAGCGTGTGCTTTGCGCCAGTCCTCATCTTCTCCATCACCGCAGCGTGGCGCTGCATAGCTGTAGGGATTAGAGGTGCAGCCGAGATAGTCGCCATTTAATTACATTACAGATCAAAGGGCTTGCGTGGGATGCCAGGTCTACTTTAGATGTGACGAGTAAGAGAGGCCGTCGCCATAATGTTCGCTGTACGCTGTCTTCCCAAGGTCTACTGATTCCGCGATACAGTGGCGCTGCGTCCAACTTGTCGATCGGCAATATTAGAAATCACCCCGGAGGAGGGTCGCGGATGACGGTTTTAATGTTGAGTTCTACTCGTTGCCTTAATTTTGCTGCCGTCTCGTCGCGCAAGTAGCTTAGTACCGTCGAATTATTAGAGGTGAGCGGATGCGTCGATGTGCAGAGTGAGTCTGCAACGAAGTTCGTGCAGTCTCAAACTTGAAGCTTACACCCATCTTAACAATTTCGCCATGATCCTGGACGTGAATTGAAATATCGAAAACGTGCTTGAGAAACCATCGCAGTTCTCCTTTCATCCACGCGGTGGCGACGGAAGTTAGAGGGTTCCACAACGGCAAAGCAAGCACTGAACGGAAGAGGAAAGAGAGGGCGGCTACCCTGGGAATGATTGAACTTATGCCGTAACTCCTTGTCCAATTGAATTCCCCAGTGGAAATGGTTCGGATGTGCGTCACCCGGATAATCTTTCGGATCCCATGGGATTACCTTAGATGCGAGCGCACGGCTTCACTGCAGGCGCATTCTCTCTGGCTAGATTACCTGAGAGAAGAAGGAGAGTGCTGCAGGAGGCTCTGGACATGGCCGTAACGTAGTGGAGCTCCTTCTCCAAGATTCGCAACCTTCTTCCGAGTACTGTAGACCAGATGGGAATGGCAGAGTCGTAGTCCCAAGGTAAAGGCCACGGACGGTCTTTCTCGAATATCTGCGGAGTTAGAGGCAGGCGCTTGCTTCTTGGAAATAGCAGAGGCAAGGTTGGGGATTTTCCCTGTTCCTTAACTGGAGCTCCTCGAAAATCTCCTCACGTCGAACGGGGTCGAAGTTCAGCATGAAGGCTCCGCGGTGCCTTGTCTGTCGCACGCCGCCTGCTTCGGCTTCTGCATCTCCAAAAACGTGGTCTAGATGCGAGAGAGCGCCACGAGGAAACTCAGACGCGTCACTGACGAGATCGACGAGCGTCTCCTCCGCAAGCAACGAGTGCACACTATTGAAGTGAGCCGCGCCAGAAGGTGGATCCAGCAGTTCTTCTCGCGAGACGGCATTGCCAGCACCGAGTGTGTTCGAGCCGTCGGCAGCGTCGTCCAGTACTGATGGGTCGACGTTTTCTGGGTGGATGCTTGATATATCTTCGCCAAAGATGTTAGCCGTATCTGCTTCCTTGTCGTTGGTCGTCCCATTGCTCATGAGGTCGTCCTCGAGCGGCAGAAGAAGTCGGAGGCGTTTGCGTGCTGCTGCGGCGGACTCTTTCGGTGCAGCATGGGTCGTCTTTGTCGTCCCTGAGAGGTCCACAGTGTTGCTGCGCGATAAACTGACACCGAGAAGCGAAGTCGCTGTGTTGCTTGAGGTTGAGAGCGTGTGCTTTCCCAGCGGGAGTCCATGCGACGAGGAGAGACCAAGAGCCGCTCCCAGAAGAGGGCAGTCGCGTGCTGAAGGCTGTGCGACTTGTTTACCCAGTTGAGGATGAAGGATGTTGCTGCTCTTGCTGGAGCTTGATGCGCCTGCGGTCTGCTGGGCCTTCGATTGGTCCGCATTCCACTGGTCACGGAATAGGTCGTGGCCTAGTTTTTTTTCTTCCAGAGTTAGAGAATCAGAAGGGAAAGGAGGGCTTCTGCGCAGGTAAGTAAATGCATGGCCTTAACACGAGACCACCGTCGTCGAATCTACGAAGTCGCTCGCGATCCTCATACTGTCGCAAACGCACAGCGGCTGGCGGGGTTCGCTCGTCTGCGTCTGAGACGTCTGTGTCGGCGTCGCCGTCTTCTTTGTTTGGTGGTTCTTGAGCTAATATCTCCTTCTGGATGATGGCTCGTTCCGATTGGTCTGTTTTCCGTCTGTAAAGACTTAGCGCGAAGAGCGTTGGGCCTCAAGCGAATGCGCATGCGCACAAGAAAGGTTCGCACTTGGTGCGGTGTTTCCTTGAACAATAGGGCACGAGAATGAGACCGGCAGCGTCATAACTTACTTTCCGGGGCGAACTTTAAACGGAGATTAGAGGTCCCACCAGATGGGGAATGATCTTGCGAGATTGTCGCGAATCCGAGGAGAACGGGAATAGCACAGACGATCGCGGACAGCGTTGGCAGATGAAATAAGAAGAGAGCGACGCACGCGGCTGTGTCGCCTTGGCGGATGGAAATTGAAAGAGCTAAGACAATTCGTAACGAAGTTGAGACAAGCGAGCATCGATTCGCGGGTATGCTCCGATGTGGTCCGTCTTCGTGGAACCGTGAGGAGGAAGTACCGGCTTGCTTTGCGAGTCTCATAATGAGTAGGCAAGCCTTCTCGGATGTCCTCTATCGTCTTCGTCACAGTCTTCCCGAAGAGGATTTGCCCTTCGGAAAAGACTCGTGGCGGCGGCGGAGGAGGCCTATAAGTGCCGACTGTGGGGTCCGCGCGGATGCGGACTTTTTCCACATTCAGAAGCTTCCAAAATTAGAAACCAAGTTAAGGAGATTTTTCTTTTCTTGTACGTGCAGTAGCTGGAGAATAAATGTTTTGCAAAACTACCAAAATCTTATTGCTGAGGAGAGTCGAAATATACAGCAACACTGTTATTTACTGTTCAACTGTGAACCACCATAACGTTCCGCGGCAAAGTATTAGAGGAATTTTTTTTTTTAAAATGAAAATATTTTTGCTGAAAAGTCGTAACGTATTCGTTTGGTGAAATCACCTTGAGGCGCAGCGATCCTTACTCTATAAAGATCTGCCGCAGGCAGCGCGGTGTTCCTCTGGGACAAGCGCTGTCTCGATCTCCTTACTGCTACTTGCTTCGGTGCAGCCTTTGGACGTCCACGTCCTCGCTTTGGTGCTGCAGGTGCATCAATCTGCTCTTGTTTGCGTGGTCTTCCCGGTTTTCGCCTGACCACATCCTCCTCCGTATGATCACCAAATGCTGGGGGAACCAGCACATCGCTCTTTGTGTCGCCTTGTTCCGCATTCGCAACACCCGCGCTGCCATTCTCGCCGCTGCCGTTCCCACTCCTGCTGGCGACATTATCGGAGTCGTCGTCAAACAGGAGATGTGCATCGTTTACCAAGAACCTCGGGTCAACGTCTTCCATGGAAATAGGGCTAAAGATTAGCGCGATATAGTATGCACGCTACTTAGGAACAGCTTTCGTTTGCACCAGTATGTAAACGAGCAGGAAAAAGTTTACTTGAAAAAAAAACTACTAGTCCTAGCGCATAAATTGTTTGTGTCGTCAACAGGAAGCAGTCTTTCATTTTGATGTGATAATCCGGTACTCCTCGATGTTTGCGCGGCACATTCGGGGATAGTTGCAAGTGCTGTTGAAGGAAAAATTGAAGCAAGTGATTTGTGAAAATATGAAACGTCTTCTGCATGTTTAATATGAAGATTTTTAAATTCCGAAAATATATATTCAATATGAAAGTGTGTAAATTGAGATGGAGATACCATTTCGTGAGGTCGCCTTACTCGTTGTCATCTCCTTGTTGCACTTTGCCACTTGCCCTCCTCGTACAGAGGATCCGTGTGTCTCGCGACAAAGCAAATGCCCACGGGAAGAAGAACTACTACTGGTAGATGTTGTCTTGTTGTTCTGTCC